GATCTTAAGGTTATGGAAAAATATTAAAACAATGTTGGCAAGTAGCCTGCAGGCAAGAGGTAGAATTCTCATGCATTCATCATTCACAGCCGAGGAGTCGATTATTCTCTGAAAACAAAGAGGTTTAAATGATAAAAATGTAGGCTTTCCTTCCATTCCTGCTCAGCGTTCCTCAAATTTCCATGTTTCTAAGCCTCACTGAAAAAAAAAGGAAAAATGATATACAAAACCATGTACACTCTATTCAGGGGGCAATTCAAGAAAACTTTTGAGGATCATTGAGCTACAAGTGAATTTTGCTCCCTGAAGAATTTTAGAATCTGACCCTGGGTAAGGAGACTGTGTTGTGTCCCTCCTCTCTGAGAACATGAGACTGTTTAGCTGTGGTTTGTGGGGTTTTGCACATTCCTTAAAGAAGCTGGTGTCGGCCGGGCATGGTAGCTCACGTAGCTCACGCCTATAATCCCAGCACTTCGGGAGACTGAGGTGGGCGGATCACCTGAGGTTGGGAGTTTGAGACCAGCCTAACATGGAGAAACCCCGTCTCTACTAAAAATACAATTAGCTGGGCGTGGTGGCGCATGCCTGGAATCCCAGCTACTCGGGAAGCTGATGCAGGAGCATTGCTTGTACCTTGAACCTGGGAGGTGGAGGTGCAGTAAGCTGAGATCGCACCATGGCACTCCAGCCTAGGCAACAAACTCCATCTCAAAAAAAAAAAAAAAAGTGAAGCTCAGCGCTTATCTTCCTACTGTGGGCTTGCAGTTTTCTTTTTCATTTCTCACCTCCTACTGTGGGCTTGCAGTTTTCTTTTTCATTTCTCACCTCCCTCCTTTAATCTGTCTTCAACTGGCTGGCTTATAAGACAGTTCTCCCTGCCTGGCCACAGTGCTTCTCTGTTCTAGGAAGAGAGAGGCCCATAGCAAATTGTTGCTAAGAGCCTTATTTCATGGGCTTGACCCTAGCTTCCTATCATGGCATCTCCTGCCTTGGGATTAGCTTGATTAGGTGAAGTATGAAACTCAGTGCAGCTTCAGTCTCACCTCCTACTTTGAGTAATTTGATAAGTACTCTGTGGTTTACGGGGTGCCGTGTACTCCTGGCTTAAATGGAGCAGCCTACTTTATCAGACAAGAACCCTCAAATGGCAGGCCTCCAGCCCATGGGCTCATTGATATTCTTAAGGAGGGAAGGCTAGCGCCTCATGAAAGGTTTTGTTTGTGTTTTCTTTTTTCTTTTTATCTCCATTTCTAGAGAAAGCAACTTTATCAGTCCAGCAGATTTTACTAGACTGGAAGGAAGCCGGGAGACTTTTAAGAAACTCTGACACAAAGGGTATTTCTCTTTATGTAATCATTTTCCCAAAATATATCAGCATAACAATCCAGTATTTTTCTAAAGAACAATGAACCCATGTCATGACTGGCTACTTAACTTTTTATAGAGGTATATATTTTAGTGGCCAATCTTGTAAAAATGGTTATTCCTGAAAAGGGGTGCCCCCTGCTGCTGGATATCCGTGTCTGTCAGGAAACATTACCATCTCCAAGTGCTATTGGTATATGTGTGTGCCAGCTCGTGGCTAACTGCTCATTTCCTGTTAAAAAGAACCTAATCTCAGGTAGGCTAATCCTACAACAGCAGCCAAATCCCTCCAGATTCACATATGTTGAAAAAAAATACAAAATGCAGAATGGGCTTCACTTTGTACCTGTTCTAAAGGCAAGAAGGTGCATTTATGTCCACAAGTTTTGCATTTGTTGCCCTTCATTCTCTGTCACATACTGCAATCAGCCTTCCATATGAAGAAGTGTAAGTATCAGAAACATACAATCTATGCATATACATGGGCTCTATTCTCAAACTGGAGAATTCCATTTCTATCACCATTTTTCTTTCTCCACTTGGCGGTATTCAGGATCATTAGAGAAGGTGCACAGATTTAGCATAAATAACATCTAATCACCTAAGAGCATGGTTCTTTTTAAAACTTCCTGGGCTGAGTTGAACGCTTAGCTAATTCAGTTCATCTGATTTTCTAAAATCTGAACTTAAGGCTATTCATTTTCTTCTAGGAACTACTTTAGCTGCTTTCACAAGTTTTGATGTGCAGGGCTTTATCGTTTGGTTACTTATACGTGTGTTTCTCCTTCTCCAAACTGTGGTTAGAGACTTTTCGTTATTGATAACTAGAGGTATGGCCCTGAAGTCAAAGAATATAGTACATGTGATGTTGACTTTTGGTATTTGATGAGACATCACTATGGGATGTTTTGGTGAGTTCAAAAAAAAAGTGTGTTTTTAGTGATTGCAGATCACTAAATGCAGATCTCCATTAGATCAAGCTGTATTACTGCATTGTTCAGATCTGCCATATTCTTATATATTTCTTTTCAAATTAATTTATAAATTCTTGAGAGGTATATTCAGATTTTGCCCCATGAAGTTTATTTTGCCTTATAATTTTTAATTTTCGTTTTATATATTTGAGGCTATGTTGTTAAGAACACATTGGCTCCCAATTATTACAGCTTCTGAAGAACTATTCCTTGTGTCACTAAATAATAACTTTCTTTAGCCTTAATAATGCCTTTTCTGGAGTCTGTTTTGCTTTGGCATTAATATTGCAATGCTGGCCAGGAGCGGTGGCTCATGCCTATAATCCCAGCACTTTGGGAGACCGAGGCAGGTGGATCACCTGAGGTCAGGAGTTTGAGACCAGCTTGGCCAACATGGTGAAACCCCATCTCTACTAAAAATACGAAAATTAGCTGGGCATGATGGCGGGTGCCTGTAATCCCAGCTACTCAGGAGGCTGAGGCAGGAGAATAGCGTGAACCAGGGAGGTGGAGGTTGCAGTGAGCAGAATTTGCGCTCCAGCCTGGATGATGGCCCCCCAAAATAATAATAGTAATAAATAATATTGTAATGCTTTCTTGTGTTTAGCATTTTTCTGATTTTTAAAAATCACTTTCTTGTCAACACTTCTGCATTATCATGTTTTAGATGTTTCTTTTTTAAGCAAAATGGCTACTGAGGGCTTGGTGACGTTACCTGCTATGACAAGCAACCCCAAATTTCAGTGGTTTAACACAAAAAAGTTTTAAAAACTATTCTTTAATCATTATGGCCTCTTTCATGTTATTCTTTTTTTAAGTACTTTTATTGCTAATTTTTCTATTTATTGCATCTCCTAGAAATTCCTCAAAGTGTTTTTCCCAAGTGTAGTTTGTAGGTTTTTTGTTTTGTTTTGTTTTGTTTTTTATGTGAGCTCATCTTTCAGAGAGTTTTTTTCTTGCTCCTAATTGGATTTCCAGTGAATCCTAGGTTGTAGAAGTAAGCACTACAAAGTGGTTTCACATCTGATTCTTTTGGAACCCTACTGTTCAATGATCCTACATGAATTTTCATCTTAATTTCTTGGTTCATTTCTATGTCATTCAGATAATATAAACTGAGACATGAGCAGCCCACAACTAGTGTCTCCAGTTCCTAATGGCTGCTTTTTCTTTTCTACCCGAGATTCCAAGTAGACTGTGCTTTCCAAGGCCAGAGAAGAGAGTTTTTTCCATCCCCTTTTCATTAAGGAGAAAGTTCCTGAAGGTCCAGAGCCCTATTGAAGTTCAGGTCTAGACCTTTCTTCCGTCAACTGGGGGTCCCTTATGCCATGAGACCCTAAGTCCTGTGTCCAGTCCAACAACCCTGTGTGCTAGGTTTTTATCAACCTTCTATAATAACTAAATCTGTCACCTGGGGACTTTGATTTTTTTAAGCTTGGAAATGTATTAGTTACTTTTGGGTCTATTTCATAGAGCATTTCTTGCATTTTCAACAATACATGGCATTACACCTTGTCAGACATAACCAACATTTCCTAACATCTCTTTTTTAGCAAAGAGGGAAAAAATCTTGGAGTGAGATTCCAGGGGTCCCTAACTTAAATTTAGTAGTATTATTTTATTTTTATTATATTTTATATATATATATATATATATATATATATATAAAGTTATTTATTTTATATAACTTAAATCTATTCACCATTTATTTTATGTGAATGATTTACGTTTTCTTTCCCCCCGCCTTCCCCCTATGTTTTCATATTAAAGTTGCACATCCCTAATCCGAAATCTAAAATGCTCCAAAATTCAAGTTCTTTAGTGCTGAGCTGACGCTCAGAGAAAATGCTCGTTGGAGCATTTCAGACTTCAGATCTTCAGAGTAGGGATGCTCAAGTGGTAGTACACAATCCAAATATTCCAAAATCCAAAAGAGAAAGTTTAAACACTTCTGATCCCAAGCATTTTGGATAAGGAATACGCAGCCTGTGCAGCAGTGATACAAACATTCCTCTCAAAATAACCTTCATAAAACAAGTCAAGCTAAAGAAAAATGTTAAGTAAATTGGCAAGTGGTAAAAAGCTCTGACAAAACTCATAAAGGTGATATATTAATAATCATATAGAAGGCCGGGCGCGGTGGCTCAAGCCTGTAATCCCAGCACTTTGGGAGGCCGAGGCGGGTGGATCACGAGGTCAAGAGATGAGACCATCCTGGTCAACATGGTGAAACCCCGTCTCTACTAAAAATACAAAAAATTAGCTGGGCATGGTGGCGCGTGCCTGTAATCCCAGCTACTCAGGAGGCTGAGGCAGAAGAATTGCCTGAACCCGGGAGGTGGAGGTTGCGGTGAGCCGAGATCGTGCCATTGCACTCCAGCCTGGGTAACAAGAGCGAAACTCTGTCTCAAAAAAAAAAAAAAAAAAAAAAATCATATAGAATACTTAAAAGCATTCAATGTCTTTTCATGCTTTTTGTCCCTATTCATTAAAACATTCTTTGATGCTTTAGCAATCCAGACATGAAGATGTTTACTGTCAATATGAATCTGGGCTATGAATGTAGAAAATGGGTTACCTAAATCCCAGGAAGATTTTGAGATAGTAAGTTGGGCTAGACTGTAATGTGGTAACAAATAACTACAGTATCTCAGGGCAAAATACAACAAACACAACAAAAGTTTATTTCTTGTTTACATTTCCAACAAGCTTTGGGCGAGACCTCAGCTCATCAGAGGCACTGGGAACACAGCCTGGTAGAGCCCCTCCACAGCCACCAAGCTGGGAAGAGGATGTAGCTCCTCACACGCTAGCTCCTAAGCCTTCTGCTCAGAATCAACATCTCTCCCTTCCACCCTTTCTTCATTAGCCAGAGCAAGTCATGTGGGCACCCTAATTTCAAAGGGGACAGGAAAGTGCAATACTACCATGCATTCCAAAGGCTGAGACCCATAAATATTTAGTGAGGATCAATATGTCATAACACATCGATCTTCTAACACACATGGTGTTGTCATAGTAACCATCCAGCAAAGAAACGGTGAAGCAGTTTTAACACATCCTCTCGATGGAGACATGTAGCTGGTTCAGCCATAGTACAGCCAGACTTGTGCTTATAACTCCCTCAACTTCTTGGTTAGCTCCATTCTGAAATTCAAAATTAAGTAGAGTCTACAGATGGATAAAGTAAAATACAGACCTTTACACTGGACTGATTTGTTACCTACCAGATCCTGAGAGGCTTTAGTGGTTGGTGGTAAATCTGCTGTCCTGCTTTCATCACCAACTGCTTGGTTTGGCCACTTCATTTCTGCAAACATTTATGGGCTTAATGTATGAATGTGGTTGAAGTATTCACAAAGAGTGTGACTTGAGTTTCTCTTAATTTGCTTCTAGGCTGTTCTGGCTCAGGTTTCCCTCTGTCCCAGGGGTTTTCTAAGATGTCCCTGTAGCCTTCTTTAATATCCATGGGTTTGTGTGAATCCCTCTCCTTGGGTTGTCCACTGATCACAGGCTTCAGCATTTTTCTTCCCCCAGTGCATGCCAACACGGGCTTTCCTGCGCCTTCTTCACAAGGTCTCTGCTTTGTGTTGAAAAGGAGCACTGATGGGCAAAGGCTCTATTTTCTAACATCAGTGAGTTGAGGAGCATTACTAGGTTCTATGGAGATTTGTGCAGTAATGAGATTCTCTCTTATCTGGGCTAATGCCCAAATTATACTGACCTTAATTATAATTTGTCCAATCATGACACATACTTCAATTCAACCACTGCTTCTGGTACTATATTTTAAGTGGAGGGTATATGATACTTTAAACTCAGACAGTGCTTTATGACTTAGAGAGCACTTTTATTGGTATTATATTTATTCTCCACAGTCACTGTGATATTGGGTATTATCCCCTTTTAAAATCACAGAGATGGTCAACTAATCTCAGAGTTAATCAGCTTGTCAATACTGGCAGGAGCACTATAACTCAAAACTAAAACCTCATACCCAGGCAGGACTCCTGCAATGATTTCATGATGTTGCCCATAATTCACAAATTTTTTTTCAATCTAAAACTTACGCTGATCCTATTTTAAAACCATCATATTTATTTTGAGACTAAGGCCCACATCCTGTGTGCTCTGTCAGGCAGATAAAAATCTGATGTCTTTATTTTTTGTTCAAGGTTGACTTTTAGGCAGAGAACTAGAAAAACAATGCACATGTGCATTTAGAGTATTTCAGGCTTATTAATTCAACCCAACACAGTAAGTGGTAGAACTGATTTCAATCCAGCTGCTCTTAATAGCAGCATTTTGCTACTTGACAGGTATGAGAGGTTTGATGTCAAGGAGAGCACACAAAATGAGAAAGATCACTGTAAGGAATTCCAAAAAAACTGCAGGATCTTGGGAAACCCAGATATTTGTCTTTCTAGGACCCAGGACTTTCAAAACTGGGGCCTAGTGCAGACCTTCTCTTTGCACGCCTCCCCTACATTTGTTGCTGAATAACGTGGTTTGCTTCCACCTATCATAGTGTTATATAGTGTAACCTGTTTGGCACACGTTATCTTGCTCCTGCTGATACATTATTGTCTGTCTTCCATGCCAACGTCTTGCATGCTCTTTTGCTACCAGGACACAGGTCTAGTTTTAGAAAATACACAGGGTCAAAGCCACAAAAAGAATGTGGACAAAGAAACTCCCTGATGCTGAGCTTTTGAAAGGGGTCTCAGGAGTTGGTGGGTAAGTACGCAGGCACTTGGCTCTATCTAGGGGAGCAGGACTGAGTTCTTGGAGGTAGAGGTCAATGTATCAACTTCATCATCCCAACTCCGCCATGAGAATTTGTTTTGTTCCGCTATATCCTCAGCACATAGTAGACACTCAATAGATATTCATTGAATAAATGAAGCAAATGCAGTAATCACTAAGGGTGCAGATTCTTTTCTTTCACTGTAGTGCTTTACTGACAGTATGGGATTTGACTTACATCCTGGAGAAGTAGATTAAACTCCAAAGGTTTGGTAGATCCAGCGTTACAAAGAGCAAAGTATAGTAAGAGAGGGAGAAGGGGACTAAATAAAGAACTTTAACAAGTTTTATCATGTTTAAAATTAGGTTATTGCCCATATCATAAGGATTCACCCTAGGTGAATGAAATTACATGGAATTCACCAAGAAGAAAAATATATTATCACGGTAAATGGGGACTTACTGACCAAAGGCCCAGGGATAAGAATAAGTCAAGAGAAATTTATCATGAACAGTGGTCAGCTTCCTAGAAGAACATATAGATTCGTCACAATTTTCTTCAGTATTCCTATCTTCCTACACTTTTCTTACCAAATGAGCTAATACAAATGGTCATGGCCTCAGCACTGATTAGAAACAAGAGGTGGAAAGTCATTACCAGAGCCATCTTCACCAACATATAATCACAATGACTCTTTCAATATTCAAAAAAGGAAGACAAATAATGTTAGCCTATGCCTGTTCAGGAGTGTTAGGCACTTTCCTTTTGTGGCTTAATCTGTAAACAACCTGGTAAAGTAGGTGGTAAATCCCTAGTTTACAAATTAAAACTGAGATCAACAGAGCATGCTCTCCCTCTGTCCAGTGCAATTTAATGCTCAAGTTTACAGAGCAAGAAATGCATACAAAGCACATATATTGACCCTGTTGTTAAAAAAATATATATATATAATGTCGTTGAAGTATATTTTATTAGTTGTTTGCATTTCCTATTTCTGAGTATCTTGCTTGGTGTCTGTTTACTTAAGTGAGCTCATAGCAGTGACTTGATGTGTGGTGTCCCTCATTCTCATTCACTGTAACTGCAGAAAGTCTTTAATTTGGGACCACTTACAGTGGATTCAGCCCCCATACATAGTATATTTTAAGTGAGTTGAAGATGTTATCTTGGACTCTCTGGGTTTCCTTTCCAAAAGAAATAAAGTCCTTCACAATTGCTGACTCTGTTTGCTTTGCTTTTTCTTTGCAGACTACTGTCAGAGGATGTAGGAATGGACATCCCCTTTGAAGAGGGAGTGCTAAGTTTACCCAGTGCTGCAGACATGAGGCCTGGTGAGAGCAGCCATTGTTCATTTCCTTCAGTGGTATTCTAAATTCCAACGTTTTCATTATCCAGTGAAAGACTTATTTCCTTTGCATCTAACTCGTGATTTCAGTGATAAAAATGAGAGGAAAAAAGAAATGTGTGAGATGAAGGTGTCAGGCTGCATTTGGTTAATTTAAGAGTTGGCTTGAATATTGATTCTGGCTGGTGTGGGCTGCATTTTTTCTCCTAGGCCACAGCCTTGTCTGCCAATGTTTTCAGTTCCTGTGATAATTGGCTACTGTACGTCGTACCAAAATCTGACTAATGTCTAAGTTTCCCACATTACACGTAATTGTGCCAATGTTTAAATTTGAAAATGTGATATGTCAAGAATGCTCAGTATCCTGACTGTCATAAACCACAACCAAGACAACGACAAAAAAACAACCACCCTACATTTTAGGGGTTTACAACCCAAGGCATACACAAAAAGGAATTTAATTTTTCAGTTGCAATTTGCATGACTCTCACTCTGTTCCAGGGTCATTCTCTTGCATGACACCAACTCCAGGATCATACCAAGATCCTGAATCATGTATCCTCAGCCAAGCCTACAGTGTGCTAGGAAGAAGAAAGGCAATTGCGTTTGTTTTCTGTCATAGTATTTGAAACGCATTCTTTAAAATGCTAGTCATGTAACAGAATTATTTCTAAATGTTCTATGGCCAGATATGCTTGGTAACCACAGTATGTTTATTTGAATCTTCAAAGTGCACAGTGTACTTTTGAATGATAAGAACACTAAGGCTGTGGTTATCTGATACGGTAAGCAGCTAGTCACACGTGGCTATTTAATTAAAATGAAAAATAATTTTTAAAATGCCCTTCTTCCGTTGCACTAGCCGCATTTCAAGTGCTCAGTCACCACATACAGAACATTTTCATCATCACACAGAATTATTTGGGGCATCGTTGCTCCGTAAATTCTTGAACTATAGAAACTCAGTGTTGAAACTTACTGGTCAATAGAAACTTTTTTCAAGTAATACATACAACCATTACCTGGAACAGAGTTTGGGTGATGTTCCATTCAGAAAAGAAAAAGCTTAATCACAAGGGAACAGTGCCAATTTCCCTAGGACAAGGCCAGAGCTAGAATTCCAGAGTTGAAGGGTATAGCAGACTCTTCAAAATACGTCATGCTTGGGACACCTGTCATTTCTGGTTTTAGATGAAGGCAACAAACTGTTTTCTCCTACTCTCACACGGAGCACATCTGTGACCAGATGTGTAGGGTTTTTTTTTTGTTTTGTTTTGTCTTTGTGCCACACACCAAGCAATTTTCTAGTGAACACCAGCTGGGTGTCCTATAATTCAGTTCTGATACTATTTGCCTTAGGAAATGACAAGGGTTTTAAGACCTCTGTGCCTGGAACCAGGGCCAAAGGCCAAATACATTTCTTCTTATACTACAGTAGGTTCTCTCTCTACCTTTATTTTGTTGGTTTATGCTTGGTTAAAAATGACTTCCCCAGCTCTACTTCTATGAAATGAAAAGCAGCATAGATGCATACTATAATGAAAGGAGGGAGCCTACATGTAAGATTATCACTTACGTTCTGGGAACCAATGTCAAGTGAGATTGGCATAAGAGCTGGTGACTGTTTGGGTGAGTTCAAAGAATGTCACCTGGGAGGATAGTTCAGCTAGGTAAAGGGCAGTGAAGATCATATACAGAGTTGTCAGGACCTAAGGGAAGTATTTTGGGAGTGTCTGTGAACATGACAAAGTTCTTAATCTGCATTCCATAGGAGCAAAGTCAACATGAATCATTAGAAAATATAGTTGGCCCTCTGTATCCATTGTTCTAAATCCGTGGATTCAACAAACCACAGGAGAAAAATATTCGAAGAAAAAAATTGCATCTGTACTGAACATGTACAGACTTTTTTCGTGGTCATTGTTTTCTAAACAATACAGTGCAACAACTATTTACATTGTATTAGGTATTATAATTATTCTAGAGGTGATTTAAAGTATACAGGGAGATGTGCATTGGTAATATGTCAACACTACACCATTTTATATCAGGGACTTGAACATCTATAGATTTTGGTATCCACCAGGCGTCCTGGAATCAATCCCTTACGGATATCAAGGGACAACTGTATACGTAAGCTTAACTGTTTTTTCTAATGCAATATACTGCATGAAAATTCAGTTCAATATTATAGCAATTTCAAGTTTTCAGACTTGAACAGGGAAATTCTTAAAAACTAGTTATCTCCCCATTTAGCAATAGCTCCTACTTCCTGTTTCTATGTGGCCAAGGCTGAGGAGGTTGGGAGGATCCAGTTTCTGAGGGCTGCTTTCAAGAAGGATGTCTAAATCTCATACAAGGATTTCTATCAGGTCTGCTTTTGCTGAAAGGGCTTTAAAAATGTTTTCCATGGGGGCCAAACTCACTCTTGACAGCCACATATAGGTTAAGTATCCCTTACTTAAATGCTTGGACCAGAGTATTTCAGATTTGGGATTTTTTCAGATTTTGGAATATTTGGATTATACTTACTGGTTGAACATCCCAAATACAAAATTCTGAAATCCAAAATACTCTGGTGAGTATTTCCTTGGTGCATCATGCTGGCACTTAAAAAGTTTCAGATTTTGGAGCATTTGGGATTTGGAATTTTTGGATTTAGATTGCTCCCCTGGTTTAATACTTGATGTTGTTGTTCTCTTTCTTCTTTAGAACCTCCTAATTCTCTGGATCTTAATGGCACTCATCCTCAGAGAATCAAGCTCACAGCTCCAAATATCAATCTTTCTCTGGACCAAAGTGAAGGATCTATTCTTTCTGATGATAACTTGGACAGTCCAGATGAAATTGACATCAATGTGGATGAACTCGAT